GTCAGTCAAGTGACCTACAGAACAAATGGCATTATTGTGTTTGTCAAACTTATAGGGCCTGTTCCATAAAGTCTTATTAGCTGGCTACCTTACTCAAAATGAAAGGTCACTATGTGGTAAAACTTAGGAAAATATTTTTTTATGACAATTAAAACTTGAGAAAAGATTTTTTTATGACAATTATTTAATGACAGGCACAATAAATAATTAGGAAATTTTTGTTTAATAACCTTTTTAAATTTATTCACACAGATTTACAAGTATACGAGTGCCATTTTATGTTTTATTTTTTAATTAATAGAAAAAAATCATTTTATATAAAAGGTAATTATTAAGCTTAGATTTTTGAGTCTCAGTATACCTACACATTATAAACTATACAAATGTACTTGCACAAATAAAGCATGATGCTTTCCTTGTTTCCTCATGTTTTCTGTCATGGACAGCTTTTCAAATTTGCTGTATAAATATTTTTAAATGTTAAATTCCTTAAATGTTAATATTTTTTATTCATTTTAAAATCTTTGGCTGTCAAGATCCACTGGACTTAGATTCTTGGGGTGGGCTCACATTTTTCTCAAATAATTTGACCACCAATTGACCTAAACCCTTATTAAGTCTCTGGGATGAGGTGAAGTAGAACGCTGACACCTCAGGGTCAGGTATTCAGGGTGCTTCCAATATCAATACAATCTCAGACAAAACAATGTAGCTTGAGCATATTTTAGACAAACATTGGTCATAAGGAATAATTGATGACAGGCCATTAAATGCAGTGCTTCCCACAGATTTGAAATATACTTGCGGTGGTAGCTGGATTAAAACACACCTTTTACTCATGGCACATAAATAGTTAACGATATGCGACAAAAAACATCATTTGATTTAACATTATTTTTATTATTACCCGTTTTAAACTTTTTATTTTTAATAGATTACAGTTAAAAAAGACTGTTGAAATAAATGTTTAAAATTTGCTATTTCTCTTTTGAGCTATTCAGGAGCCATGTGCACCCACTGACAGGTAAAATCTACTTCTCTCTATCTTTCATTCAAGTTCGTTCAGGTTCCTTTTTTGGCATGTACAGTATTGCCAAAGCATTTTACATAAATCAAATATCAAATTAATTAAATATAAAATAGATGAGAAATAAATGACAAAAATCTCTAAAAAATTATAGTAATTACAAGACTAAAACGTGTGCAATATTTAGACAGGGCAAATGAGTGGATTACCCATTACTAATGGTGTACAATTATTCTGCTGCCAATTTAGATTCCATTTCGTCCTCTCTGAGTATTTAATATTTTTTCTGAGTCGTTTAGATTAAAGAATTAATTATTTAAAGTTTCTCTCGCTGCTGTGCACAAAAAATTAACGACAGCTTAAAATACAAATGTAAAACCAAATCTCTGACAATTTAGTAGATTTAAAAACCCTGGTCGGATGCAAAAGGATACAGGTCTCTGTGGGTAAACAGATCACGTGAAACTGTCTGTGCTGCCAGTTCCCACAAACACAGAATGAGCAGTATGAAACGGGTAAAGGAGAAAGGATTTTCCACTACTTTATCGCTCGCAGATGTTTGATGATATTGGGTGGATACAAAAAAATAAATAAATAAATAAAAAAAAGTGTAAAAGGATGATAATAATAGTATTTTAAAAAAAGTGTCACAAAACATACTTGGGCGGCCTTTAAAATACCTGGGTGGCCAGCCTAAGTAAAGACTATGTGTGGGAAACACTGAAATTAATAGAAAATAGGCATTCTTGGAGAACAAAGTATCAATTGCAACTTGAGTGCGCATTAGCTTTCTTTGATTAAGTGGGTCAGAGTCAAGTATAACCCTAAAAATACTGTTCTTACAGCTAAAGGCAAATGTTTTATTATAAACCCATCTCATTATAAACACGTTTTTTAATGAACACATTTTATTAAGCTAATCAACCAATCAGAATCAAGCATTCAACAGTCTTTTATTCTAGATTTAGTCTTACCAATCACCCACTGGATCCATATGACATCGTATCGCTCTGGCTGGGGCTGAAAGTCTTGCAGGCCACAGCAGAAGTAGTTCTCCACCCGTTTGCTCTCCTCACCCAGGTATGTACGAGCTTTATCCAGGAATTCCTGAGTCACGTCCACAAGATCTACTGTTCGAAAGAGTGGCAGGAGCAGCCGCTTGGTGATCCTGCCAATCCCAGCGCCACAGTCCAGAGCACAACCTGTGCCAGTCTTACCCTGGCCTTCCTTAGAGGCAAAAAGGAAAATTAATAATATAACAATACATCAAACTGTACTTAAACAACCGTTTAAAAGACGTATAAATAAAATTCTGTGGAAAAAAAATCTCTTCCGCTCCCCAAGACGGCTGATTTAGCAGTAAATACAGTAATAGTAGTAATACTGTGCAATATTATTACATTTTAATCAACTTAATAAATACCTTAACACATTTCCTACTATAAAAAATACAACATTACTGACCCCAATTACTATGACTCACCCCAAGGAATTTCTGAAGAAACTTTTTTGAGCCGTTAATGTCAATACTGGAGATGCTGCCATAACCTCCCAGCATTCCATCCACAGTGGGCGGGACGTCCTTCCAGTAGTGCTCTGCCTTTGAGTAAAAGGACGTTTGGTCTTCTATCAAACAGTCTTCCATCTTTGTGCAACTCCTGGCCAAAGGGATCCAAAATAAGTACATTTACCACCACAAATCTAAAAAAGTTTTTTACATGTTGATTCAATGACATATTAAATGTAGCTTAGCAACTGTGCTTTTAAAAAATGTTCATTTCATATTTGAAAAAGATTAATAAAACGACAACCACCACTATTAAAACAAATTCTCTATAGACAAATTTAGGAAACCATTTACTACTAATTCTCTGGATATCATATTAATTGGAGTTTTGAGTAAAATTATTTGTAGTTTATTTGCTAAATTACAGATAAGGTGTTTTTACAGACGTTACAGTAGGTGAGGGGTCAATATAAAATATTTAATGTTGCCACACTGCAATAATGCTTTTCTTATTTTGTCTTGTCTTTCAGTCAAGTTACTTATGCATTTAGCATTAATGTACACTAAGTTATAAGTTCTCTCTTAATATACATATATGGTAATACGGTAATATGGTATACCGCGGGATCTAAAAATAGCAACGGTGTCAGTTCTAATACCGTTATACCGTCATAAAAACAATTTAATTAAGTAGGAGACAAGTATTAAATAATAAGTATTATTTATTTAATGCCAACAAATGAGTATGTGTGATTGTCATGACGGGACAGTGTGGAGGAGAGAGAGGTGAGGTAAGATTTCGAGTCACGCACCAAGTCACCTGCAGTGTGTGTGAGTGAGAGAGTTTGGTGCTGTGCATCTCTCTCGCGCTCTGTGTGTGTACCACGCAGATCTCTAATACGAACAAGACAAACAGGTGACAGTGAACCTCAGGTCGCCTTACGTCATATTTTTTATTATTATGTACGGTAATACTGGATATCGGGGTAAAATAGAGAGGAGGTTTGACGGTATCAAAATTTGGATACCGCCCAAGCCTAATATATATATATATATATATATATATATATATATATATATATATATATATATATATATATATATATATATACACAGAATCAAATCTTAATATATAAAAATTCTTAAATCAAGAAGCATTTTCTAGACAAACAAAATGTCAAAATAAGTGAGTTTTACCTTAAAACAAGCTGAATTATCTGCAAGGTGTAAGCAAAGTAATATTGTTGTTCTTTTTGACATTAGGTTATTGTGCTTATTCCATTGGCAGATTATTTTGCTTGTTATAAAGAAAAACTCACTTAATTTTGAAATATTAATTCTTAAAACAAGACATTATGTTTTGCTTGTTTAGAAGATGCTTATTGATTTAGGATTTTTTTAACTAAAAACAAGCCAAAAAATTTAAGAAAAACTCTTTTTTTCGCAGTAAAGACTTTAAATACTGAGAAAATTTGTATATAGATTAAGAGCAAAAAATCAAGGCAGCCTACATTAATGCTAAATGCATAAATAAATTGACTGAAAACTCAATAAAATCATGAAACTGCTATACTTCAGTATTACAGCTAAACTTTTCCCCTTTTATGAGACCAAAAGGCAGCTTTCACACGTTGTCAGTTTCACACCTGAGTTCAGCTGTCAGGATGCATCACTTGACAGTGGACTGACAGACAGATGACTGCTAAAATAAGCCAGTACAATGTATAATGGCCTTACAAAAATAGAAGATTGAGTTAATGTAGAATATATCGATATCCGCAGCGCTAAAGAGATCACAGTCAGACTAAAAAGCAGATTTATAGTGAGTAGAGCATTAAGCGGTTAAACAAAGATGAAAGAGCAGAGTTACATTTGTATCTATCTTAGCCTTCAGTTCCGTTAACGTACTTACTAGATTTACTCGGTCAAACACGCTCCTACACGTGGTCCTCCTGTCTTTGAAGGTGTCTTGTCCTGTTTCTATATTTGGTGTTGACAAAAGTTACACGTGTTGACACACGGCCAGCTCTAAATCACACGCGTCCACTGAGACTCTCTGCGCTCTTTATGTCTTCAGTCATTCAGACTATGAACACTGACCTACCTTTGCTTTCGTGCTCTCGCTGACTGCCGCTTCTTGCAATCGCTCATGTCACGACTAAACTGTCGAAGAACTGCCCCATGAACAATACTCCAGCTCCCCTACTTCCCAAAAGTAGCAGAAGCCCCACATCCCACGTCATTTCCTTATTTGACCGCCGTGTTTCCCCTCAGTGAGTTGTTTTTATTTTGTCTCCATCTTGTGGCCGCATTTCAAGTTGGGTGTGTAGCTCAATCAATTGTATTTGCATAGTGTTCTTGAATTGTATTAAATGCGGTGTTTTAAGCAATGGTATGGCTGCATAAAGGAGTTAATTTCACTATTAGTGATTTAAAGCCCTTTCTTAAATATTCAAAGATTATACCCATATTTAAAGAGCTAGTTGGTGTTTCCCAGAGATGGGTTGCAGCTGGAAGGGCATCCGCTGCCTAAAACATATGCTGGATAAGTTGGCGGTTCATTCTGCTGTGGCAACCCCAGATTAAAAAAGGGACTAAGACGAAAAAAAAAAAGAATGAATATTATTTTCTGACTCTTAATTGTATTAATTGTATTACTGATTTTAATTGTGGTAATTGTAAAGTATTCATTTAAAGGGCACCTATGAGGAAAATCATCATTTGTAAGCTGTTTGGACAGGACTGTGTGTAGGTATATTGTGTTCACGGTCATATTGGAGTGATAGAAACAAATAAGTCTCTTTTTTATTTCCTGACACTAAAATAGGATCTAAATCCTTCCCATTTTGAGGTCCACCGTAATGTAAGAGTGCGGTTTCCCCTCACAACGGATTGATTGACAGCTGCATATTTACATGTCTCCGTAGTAACGTGTATCATCAAACAGTATCAACAAGACAGGAGGTGCACAAAGCACCTGGGATTAAAAGATCTGTTCAGCTCTCTGTGATCATCAATCATCATCAAATGTGATCAAAAATGAGTTTTACAAGTTTAAAACATTTTTAAAACAGTGCATGTTTGTAATAAATTACAGCGATTTTACTGTCTTTACTTTATCACCACAGTCGCATGTCAACACAATTATAAAAGAAGACGCTTTAATCCCATTTTGAGGCTGTTAAATCAGGTTTGTTTTGTGCATTAACATAACGGATATCTATACAGAAGTGTTTACTAACGTGAATCCTGTCACATTTACCATGCAAAAACAGTGCAAAGCTAAACATGCGCCCTGTGTGTGTCTGTGTGTGCGTGTGTCAACTTTGTAACAACATTTTGTGTGACTCATCGCTGCAGAAAGGCTTGAATTAACTCCACAACAAATACATCAAATAATCATTGGGAAAGTTCCGACTATAGTATTTCTCACAAACGTTACGTGACATCTGCTTTCTTCATGTCTGTCACTGTGCTGTTTATCTTACGCAGCCGAGACGGAGGCTGAGGCACACTCTGACAGGCACGTGGGAACGGTGGGCGGGGAGAACTAGCATTAAAGGCACAGGCCACAAAAACAGCTACATTGTGTTCAGAGCAGAAAATCACATTATTCTGAAAGGTATAATAAATAATCTGATTAGTGTTTTGAGCTGAAACTTTACACACACATTCTGGAGACACAAAATACTTATCTTAAATCTTGAAAAGGGGTAAAATAGGTGCACTTTAAATTTAAAGGGACAGTTAACCCTAAAAATCAAAGTGGACTATCCCTTTGTATAATATTTACCCATGCATGAGCAATATTATTGTGCGCACACACACACACACACACACACACACACATATATATATAAAAAGGAAAATCTGGATATAGAAAAAACGAATAATAATTATATATTTACTCTATAATAATATATAATAACACAATATGCTCAGAACAAATGCAGTATAATCAGTTTTTAAAAATGTGACATTTAATGACACTAAGTAATATTATAGCACTTTTTTGTGTCAATAACTATACAAATATATTTTAGTAGAAACATATTTGTCCATCTTTGTATCAGAGATGCTACAGTGATATTTATGGAGATATAATTGATACTAGTGTTGAGTAACTGGTTAATTTATAGTGGTTATTTTCCCGATTGGTCTTTTTTGCCCTTTTAAAATTGTGTTCTTTATTACCCTCAAAAGTGTGCATATTAGTGCTTTAAAGCTACATATTTGTACATGTGCATAATAAAACCTAAACAGGCCACGTTTGGTAGCGCTTCAGCGACAGCTTTTGTGCAGTCTTTTCACTGTTCTCCGGTCACCATAACAAATGTTCATCTGAAAAGTACTTTCGATCCTGTATTTATTTTGTATTCCATCCAGCCTCTTGTTCTCCACTGCTGCTTTTTCTTTGGTCTCATCCCGTCTCTTATTTTCACTGCCTTCATTAGATGACAGCATGCTTTCTGTCTCGCCTGCTTATGGCCGTCTCTCCTCCCCCAGCGTTTCCGTGCTCTCCCCTGGGTAAGCGGCTCTGCTCATCCTCTCTCTGTCTGTGGTTCTCAGCCGATCTGGCAGGCTCTACAGATGATGAGTCAGTACACTGTCTGTCTGCAGCGGACAGCCTGAAGTCAGTCGATATTTAATCTGATCTGCTCTCTTTCACCCCATCTCCTTCTGTCTACTCCCTCTCTGGCTCCTGACACCTTTTACACTCTCATTAGAATTACAAAGAGGCTGGAGAAATGGAGCGGAAATCAACACTTCTGAAATGTCCTGAGTCAGCAGAGCCGGTGTTCGCTTCCCCTCACCTGTCTCTCTGCCTGTGGGTCTTTCTCCTTCTCTCTCTTTCTCTCTCCGTGTCATGCCCTCTTCCCGTTTCTCCTTTTAGATTCACCTCTTTTCCGCTGCTAAATGTGTTTGACAGCATACTCACCTATTTGACTCATTCTAGACTCATGATGTCTCATCAAAGGTCACTTTTCCAGTTTAAAGGCAAATTGCATTAATTAACCGTCAAAAAGGAATTATATGAGAGGAACAATGTTTGTGTATTTTAGTAATATAGGCTATATTTAATGCTATTTATTACATTTTAATTTAGGGCTGTCAAGGCAAGGCAAGTTTAAATATATAGCACATTTCATACGCAATGGTAATTCAAAGTGCTTTACATAAACAAGAATAAAAGATTAAAATAAAGATAAAAACATGGTTTAAATGGATTAAAACAGGTTAAAAAAAGGATAAAAGAGAAGAGAAAGACATAATGGTGCGATCTGTCAGACGTAGCACAGTGCTCATTTGGTAAAGGCACAGTTAAACAGATGTGTTATTAGTGTTGATTTGAATGTGCCTAATGTTGGTGCACATCTGATCATTTCTGGAACCTGATTCCAGCACAGGGGAGTGTAGTAGCTGAAGGCCGATTCACCCAGCTTTAACTGAACCTTTGGAATTTCTAATTTACTTGATTCTTACGATCTGAGTGATCTGTGTCACAATAAGGTCAGTGTTTATAACTGACATTGAATAAACCAGCGCCATGCTTGATATATTTAAAACATATGTTTTACATGTAACACATTAATAGCTCCAATTTAAATGAGCTTTACCTAAACATTTTAATTAGTTAGTAACAAGTAGTAATTTTATTTTCATTTCTATTTAGATTTAAATTATTATTCCAGATTAAGTTTTAAAATTCCTACTTATGTTAGCTGTTTCCTAAGATTCTTTTTACTTTTTATGTTATATATGCTGCTTGAAAGTTTGAACACCCCTTGCAGAATAAGAGAAAATGTGAATATTTTTAACCAAATAACAAAGATCATACATTTTTTTTATTTAGAACTGTATTAAGATATCTCAACAACAGATGTTTACACATATTTTACAAAAAAAAAAAAAAAAATGCTAAAAGTATTAAAATAGCCCCCTCCAAACATTTACGAACCCTTTCTATTTGATACTGTGTGTGACTACCTGGATAATCTACATTTTTTAGTTTTGAGATGGATTTTTCAATATTGAATAATTCACTGAATATTTTTATGCATTTCTCAGTAAATATGGATAATATATATTGATTCATCTGAACGAAACAGAAACATATATATTTATTAAAATAATATTTTAGTCACAAAACATCTTTAGAAATGTAAAGAAATACAATTAAATTCATGCAAAATATTGCAAAGAAAAATACAAACTAAAACTAAATATATATAAACTAAAAAAATTTAATAAAATTGTATATATTTTTTGTTTTTCTTGACTTTTGCTATTTTTGAAAATGTTATTTAATATTTTTCTATAACATATAAATTTGGGCTACTAATTTTTCAACCATTATTGTAAGTTATTTTGTTAGATAAGCTCCAGATTTGGTTCAGTACTGACTAAACTAATGTATATGCACAAATATAATATTGTAAAGCTTCCAATAGGAAATATTAATTTAAATGAGAGTTTTGTGGGGGGTGTAAAATGATTTAGACCTACAACACAATATTTCGGTAGATTTAAGACTTTTTAAGGCCTACAATTTTTACAAGATCTTGTTTTTGACCAAAACATTATTAAAATTGTTAACTGTTGCAAATTTTAAAATGTAATTAAAAGCACCATTTGTGTAGATAAGATACTGATATTATGATTTAAAACAGCTACAGATAAGTGTTACTGTGAGGACAAGCTAAAACTAGTAATAGAACTAAAATAAGGATCTAAACATGTAGCATGTAGTCATTTTACTCAGCAGTTGGTTATTGTTATATAATTATATCTAAAATATGCAATGCATGTTAAAATGCAATAGCAAACCTGCTCTAATATAATAAATATATTTATGCTTGCAGAATCTGTATAAGAGCACAGTTGTTGTTAACATAGTAATGCAAGCTTATGAAAATGGCAAACAGTATCATACATGTACCCATATACACTGAGCGCTATATAAAACACACAACAGACAAGAAACATATTTCATGGAGTGACATGGATGAACAAATGTTGACAGAATTTGCCTGTCAGGATGAACTGTTACCAAGAGTTTAATGAATATTACATCGTTTAAATAGCAGTCATTTGATGCTGTTTTGTATCTAAATTACACTCCTATGCACTGAATATGGCTATCAGT